TTAGGCTGTGGAACATTGTTTCCGAAATAGACAGATAGGAGATCCTCAGCACGCAGGAGAGAAAAAAGAATCGGTGACGAGAGCACTAGGATTCGTGAGCGAAAAGGCGGGTTCTGGAGGAATTACATGCACATTATAAGCTCTTGGCGCGTTCGGGTGGCGATTTTGTGCTACCAGGTCGATCAACCTCTATACCAGCAGGATCCCCTACCTTTCTCAATTGCGCTCATAAGACTCACGCTCTATTGTTTCACTTCACTCGTTTCCCGGTTGAATGTGTGACAAGATATCATGATTGTTTTGAGCTTTTCAGCAGTAAAATGCTGAGTTCGAAAACAATTCAACGGTTAAACCTGTGATATCTTCGCGCATGAGAATGAAAGCGTTGATGTGAAGTGGAGTAGCAGCGCTTCAAATTTTTTCTGTGATGAAATGTGCGAAGAGACACTGATCACGGAAGAGAGGTGAAAGGCGAGAGAGCGTAGTGGACGAGAGGGCGCACACTCCATCAGAGGAGTCGTCGTGGGTGTGGTTCGCTAGGACAGAAAACGATATGTCGCTTCTCGGCGAGAAGCGTTTTTCTTTGCGGATACCCTGATTCCACCACTGCTCAAGAGTGTACCCGGGATTCCCACAGCGAAAAAAGTATCGCGCGCGAGAAGCGAAAAAGTCGCTTTCTGTTCTGGCGACACGGCCGTCTACGGAATACACTTGAATGACAACCTGACCATTCACCTGCGCTAGAGATATGCTCAAGGAAGTTGAATTATGAACAATACGTTGAGCCGCAGCGGGGAATCGAACCCAGACACTGCGCTTTTCCAGCAGAACTGTGGGCATTGTACTTTTCTAAGCAATGTTTCACCTTACAAAGAAGGTCATTTGTTCAGTACCGCTCTTTGCAAGATCTGCATACCGGTCACTCTGTCTTTGGACTTTGATCGAATGCGTCTCTGAAATTAAGAAGGGGAACTTATCTGGTGGGAAGCACGGACCATATAAGGTTGCGCATCGACTCGCAATTTGCTGCAAAGAGTATGCTCCAGACGACCTAGCATGCCCCCAGCTGCGCTATCGGCGCGGCAAGCCCACCAACTGGTTGACCACTAGCCGCAGGTCTCTAGCCATTCAGTAGAGATAGCATTAGCGTTGAAGGAGACAGCATCGATGCGAGTCGCATTATTGCGGAAATCAATGGGCAAGAAAGAGGTCCCACTGTTTGGGTTCTTCGCTGTTTGTCATGTTTTTTACTACCAAATCTCTTTTCATCGGATTCATGGACTGAAAGAGCTCAGCGGTAGTGCTCTGGCTCACAGGCTAAACATCGTGGTATAGATCGCGTTCGTGCTCTTTTGCTTCAATTTTTCCTTGTAAGCATCCAGGGGAGAAGGGGCGGGAGGACTAGGTGGTGCAATAGCAATTTCAAGTTTTGCCGAAGCTCCTCCACCCCTCTAGGCTTAGTGTTTACCGTCATCTGCAAAATTCAGCTGTCCCAGTGTGTTGTGTTTTGCACCAAAAACATTTTGAAGCATTGCTTACCTAATTTCAGCGACAACCTCTACAACAAGCGGTGAAGCCAGTTCGTCTACCGTAGCACAACTTTCAACAACCCTACCACCCTGTACACCATCCTCGGACGATTACCACTACCACTCCGGTACGAAAACAGAATTATGCTAACTGCATGGGAGAGCTAGTTTTCAACATTACAAGTCTTTAGGACCTGTCCCCGATATGACTACAACACCTCAAGCGCCATGCGCTCCAGTAACCGACTACGATTGGGATAATGCTGACAGTATTAAACCTAAAAATTTATCAACCATTAAAAAATTCACTTGAACTAATGTGTGATTTCAGCAGCAACTGCCATAATAAACGGTGGTACAACGGCGAGTGCTACGGTCACCAGTTCAGCAAATGAAACTTCTACTTCTATGGCGAACAACTGTAAGGCAGCTAAAAACATGCTTGCATTCAAGAGAGCCAACGTGTTGAGCAGAAATTTCCCGCTATTTTCTACTTTTTGCACAAATTAATTCAATAGTGCAGAAGAAATCTAACAACCAATTATTCAATTAATTTATTGGCTCTTTCTCTGCATTTCTTGAGCTGATTTTTACCAGTTTGGTAAGTGGGCTAAGCAGCTCTCAATTACGAGTTCTACCTGTTTAATATCAATAATTTTTGTCCGTATAAGAACGGAAAATTCAACTTTATGTTTTCCTAAGATTCCGTCATAAATTCCATCTTCACTCAAGATTAGTAAACAGCCGATCAATAACATTTAAATTTTCTATTTATAGTATTACAGCGTATAATATTTATAGCATATTAGTACATACTTGAAGTATTTTTATGATATTCTGAAATTCTGTGATTATTACCCTGATTAAAAGGATGTTCCTGAATCCTGAAGTTAATTGAGTATTCCATTTTTCAAAACTGATTTGAGAACGAGAATTTGAGGAAAGAAGTCGATGAGCCTCCGTTAGCATGTGCCTCTAGACGGAGCCTTAACAGAAGCTGTTTTTCCTAATGTGGCAAAACGGTGTTTTATCCTCCCAGACCAGGGTGAATAACGGTCGAGGAAATCCTCGACAAGGGGGTTGCACTTGTTATGATGGGTCATGGGGGGTCGTACCTGTGAAAGTCGGCAGCGAGACCGCAGCAGGAAACGAAGATGTGCGAGACAACTTCATATAAAATATTCGTTCTGCTCGCTCTTAATACCTCGCTGACAGTGATT